AATCCTTGCTCTTAACCCTGGGCGTGTGGCCTCCCCGAGTCCTAGGAGAGGAAGAGAGGAGGGAGAGCAGGGTGCAGAGGAGGCTGGTTCATGGATCAAAGATGACCCTGGAGGGGGGCTCATGAGGCTGAGGCAGGTCACAGGGACATCCCCTGAGGGAGAGAATGCCGCGGAGGATGCCAGGGAGCCTGGGGCGGAGATGGGCGAGGTTAGGGGCCTCAGAGAGCAAATGCCCAGCAGTGCAGGGTTCGGGAGTTCCCCCCGGAGCCTCCCTCTGTGCATCACCTGGGGGGGGGGGATCCATGCTCTTCATGTCCCCAACCCTGACCCCAGCGCCCTCCCTCACCCAGCAGTTCTTCCTCACATCTAGCTGGAATCTTTCCTGCTGCAGACCCCAGCCCTGTCTGCAGAGCTCCTGGGTCAGGGCGGCCGTCCTGCTGACAGTCCCTCGGCCCTTGTTGGAGGAGGGTACCATCTCCTCTTCTGGCTCAGCACCGTCCACACAAGATTAGGTTTAATTGATGGGGAAAATAGCAAAGTCATTACTCACCAGGCGATCAGGACTGGATCTGCCTGGGTGGCCTGCGTTCACTGTGGGCCTGGGCTCCGCCTAGGCGGGTGGACTGGGGTTCCAGGACCCAGGCCTCTTTGGGGCTGGGTCCCGGGAGACCACCAGCCCTTCCTAGTCATATAAGACGTAGACCTCGGAAGACCCATCTTCCTAAATGTTTCTCAGGAGCCTCTGGCGTAAGAGCAGCCCCAAAGCAGGGCAGGGGGCCCAGCCCTTGCAGACCCAGACTTAGCCCCAAGCAATGGGGGGCGGGGGAACCAGACTTTGGGTTCAAATTCAGCCTTCTGAGACCCCCCTTCTCTGCGGAGAACTGGGCAGGACCAGCCCATTCTGGGTACTCCCTTGACATTGCTGCCACCTAGTGATATTTGGAGAAACCAGTCCTTCCTTCCTCTAGTTCCACAACCAAACGGTACCACACGTACAAAAACCCAGATTTACAAAGTAAACAATCCAGAAGGAGGAAAGGGGGCCTTTTTCAACTGCAAAATGATTAGAAGACTCCACCAAAAAATATAAAAGGAAATTCTTCCTTTCCCCCCTGACCCCTTAGTGGCCCAGAAGCACTTAGCTCCTCCTCCCCGGGGCAATAATATGCACAGATGCCCTAAAGCCCCGCGGTCCTTGCCGTCTCCAGCTCTTTCCACCCTCCTCATCTCGGAGCCCCTGCTGCCTCTGCTCTGTGCCCTGGCATGTGCCCATCTTTGAGCATGTACCATAGTGAAGTGGCTAGGACTTGGCTGGAAACCCAGCCTCAACTACTTACTCACTGGGTGACCCTGGACGAGTACCCAGCATCTCCGAGTCTTAGCTCCTTCACTTATAAAATAGGAATATCTGTATCTGCCAGAGAGGGCCACTGCACAGATTAAATGCGCCTGTGTGCTCAGCACAGGAATTGGCACCTGCAGGGCATCATCAAATGCCTGACATTGTCACCATCATCATTGGCATCATCACCATTCATCCTGTTACTCTTGGGAAATTTGATTTCATCAACTAGACTGTCAGCTGCTGGTATCTAACTCCCCATCCCAGCTCCTGTTAGACAAAGCGAGGTTTTTCCTTAAAGGACACTGATATCATATCTGCTTCCTATAGCATTTATGCCTGATAAGACAGAGCACACAGTAGGTGCTCAGGAAACTCTTAGGATAGCTTGCCTATATGTCCAACCTCATGCCAAACCATTCCCCAACTTGCTCACTGAGCTCCAGCTATGCTGGCTGCCTTTCTGCTCTGTAAATAAGTCCATCTCTACCTCAGGGCCTTTGCACTTACTGCTCCCACAATGCTCTTCCCCCAGTTCTCTGCATGGCCAGTTTCTCCTTATCATTTAAATGTCACTTTATCAGCCCTAGCCAGTATGGCTCAGTGGATAGAGTGCCAGCCCACATACTGAAGGGTCCCAGGTTTGATTCTGAACAAGCACACATACTTCAGTTGCAGGCTCGACCCCCGGCCCCGGTTGGGGCACATGTGAGAAGCAATCAATTGATGTGGCTCTCTCACATCAATGTTTCTTTCTCTATCCCTTCCACTCTCTGAAAAGCAATGGAAAAAAATATCCTCGGGTGAGGGTTTTTAAAAAATTAATTAAAACTAAAATTTTAAAAATAAAAATAAATGTCACTTCCTCAGAGAGGTCCTCTCTGATAGCCTTGCTTGCCCTCATTCTCCACTTTGTCTGCTGTACTATAGAGGTCAAGAACCTAAGTGGCTGAAGAGAATTCCAGTTCCACCACTTATTAGCTGTGTGGCCTCAGACAAGTTGCTTCACTTCTCTGTGCTTCAATTTTCTCATCTGTAAAAACTGGAAGTAATAACCGTTCCCACTTCATAAGGTTATTTTGATGAATTAATACGTATCAAGCTCCTAGAGTAGTGCCTGACATGGATATTACGTGTCATAGCATGTTATTAATTTTCTTATTCATTCATTCAGCCTCATGTGTTTATGTTTCTTCATCTAGACTGTATTCCAGGTCAGAGTCCTTGTCTGCTGTACCCTGCCTGACAGATAGTAAGTGCTCAATAAATACCAATTAATTGGAAAGGATCTCGGGGGACGGGCATGCCTCTCTCTCCTTACCCAGTGTCCATGGGCCATTGAGCAATGTGGCTGGATAACCTGTGGGCTATCTCTGGCCTCCTCACTCCCCACTGTCCCGAGAGGGTGCCCCCTGCTGGACAGTGTGTAGGTGTCCCTTGAAGGAAGCTGATGCCCGCAATCCTGTAACTATATCATTCCTGGGGGTCCATCTCTGCCCTCTAGAGCAGAGACCATGAAGCTGAGGGGTTAAGAGCAAGCTCTTTGGAGCAAGATGCATCTGATTAGACCTTGTGCTTCTCCAATTACTCTGCGTGTCATCTGCCAGGAAAGTCTTCCATCCTTAGTCTTGTCCGTGTGAAAAAGGGAGATGACAATGCCCTCTCCCCCTCCCCCACCTCCAGCTGACGGACTGGGGCGGTGTGACAGGGCGTGCCCGGGGCACAGGGAGCCTTGCAGGCCCACCTTCCCCCGCAGCGTCAGCCCTCGTGACAACTCAGGAGCAGCTGTCTTGCCAGCCTATCCAATGGTCCTTCCAGCGACAGAAACGGGAACAGTGGGTCTGGACCACCCCCTTATCCAAACCCCAAGGTCTCCTCTGTAGGCTCTCTGTGCATCTGGCTCTTCCTCTGAGAGCAAGCAGCTGGCCAGAGGGGGACGTGCTGGACTTGCACCCTCTTACCCTCCCCACCGCCCTCTCTGGCTGCTCTGTCTCCCCATCACGGCCCCTGAGGCCGAGGTTTCCCTGGGCCCTCTGGGCCCTCTCCTGCCTCACTTCACAATTGTCCCCAGCCCTCACCAGTCCCTTGGCTTTGATTGCTGGCTACATACACTGCAATTCCTCTATCTCCAGCCCAGAACCCCAGACACCTTGTGAACCCCTGAATCCCCATGGGGGAGCTCCCCTATCTACACCACCTTCCGCCACCACCCCTCCACCCAAATTCCCGCCCTGACATCCAGTCCTCGCAGGCACCCAGTCCTGGGCCCCTGCCTCAGCCCAGCCTCCTCCCACAGCCCAAGGAGGGCTCTAGTCCTCTCCCAGCTCATCCCCATCTGCCTCCCCACATGCCCATCCTAGTCCCTCACCCCAAAGCTTTGAATTGCCTGTTACTCCTATACTTAAACCTGGGAGCTCACGGAGTGACCCTCTTCCTTAGCAAGTCCTCATCAAACTGGGCCCCCAGGACAAGGTACTGCTTCCCCTGGCCGATTGGCAACTCAGGTGGGTGTGGATGGTGCCCTCCCCGCCAGAAATCTAGAAAGGACTGGGAGCAGGGGCCACGCCTCCGCCTTCAGACTGGGCATTCTCCGAGGTCAGGGCTTTGCCTCCCCTTTCAGACTGAGGATGTCCCCAGAGCAGAGATTATACCTCCATCATTAGACTGGAGACCCCCCCTTTAAAGGGTACCCCCTCCTCAACGAAGCCAGGATGTTAACTCTTCCTGGGACAAGGAGTGTCTCATTCAACCGCCACTTCAGGGCCCTGCACAGGGCCTGGCCCATGATGGGGACTTCAGCAATCATGAGTGAATGGATGAACCAGTAAACAAGAGCAGGCGGGCCCCAGCTTAAACCCCACAACCCCACCTGACTAGCAGGTGGCATCAGGGCTCAGAAGCAAAGGAAAGCGGGAGGGACACAGGGATTTTATTGGTCACACGGGAGAGAGCAGATGTCTCAGGACCTTCCACGGCCCAGGGCCAGCAGCTGAGAGTCCTGGGGAAGGGCTGGGTTTCAGAGCTCCTGGGAGGGCCAGAAGGAGGGTGCCTGGCACAGAGCCTGATACCACACCCTTTCCTCTTCCCTTCCCCTCAAACCAGTGCCAGGGGCCAGCCTGTGGGCAAGGCTTAGAAAATGACCAACGAGACCAGGTGCTAATGACTCCAATAGCAAGCCAGGGAGCAAGGCACAAAGTGGTCACGAACTGAAGAGGGACAACAAGCTGCCCTTTCCGTGCTCCCCCACCCAGGTCAGGGCATCCATCCCTGGGCCCAGGAGAACTGGTACCCTGAATGAGGTGTTGCCATCACCCACCATCCTGCCTTCAGAAAGAAATGAGAATGGAGATCAAGAAAGGCCTGGAGGGTGGCCCCCCACACAGAGCCCCCCCCCCGGGGGGGGCCCTGTTCAGGCCTCTGGGCAGCTTGGGTGTCAGTCAGGCGCCAGGCCCAGCTCCCCACTCCTTGGCCTCACAATCCCAGCCTTTGTCCACCAGCCCGGGCCTGGCTGGCTCTGCACCGGCCCAATGGGCCCTGGAAACCAAAGCAGCTGGAGCCCCACCAAGTATTTTTCCAGGCTGAGCCAGGGCCCTCGGGAGACAGGGAAGGATGCAAAGGAAGGGTGTTTATCCGTCCATGTGTTCAGTCATGTCTTCCTTGAACAAATAATATTTATTGAATGTCCACTTTATGGCAGGCACTGTGCTAGAGGTGGGGAACTCAGGGGACGCCCCAGTCCAGGCCCAAGCCTTCACCTATCTTATTTTCCAGGTGCAAAACTATGCCAACAAAGCCCTTTTCTACCTGTGTGGGAGCTGGGCTTGGAGGAAGGGGCGAGGGTGGGGATGGGGGGAGTGCACGGGATGGGAAAGGTGAGGGGGCTACCACTAAGGCCTATGGACCCCAGGCCTCGCCCCTCCAGGGCAGCCGGGGGAAGCTGGAGGAGGGGTCACTCAGGGCTCCACCCACACGCTGCTGTTGGTCACGCGGGCCCCGAACCAGCCCTTCCAGTAGACGGAGTCCTGTCCCCCGTGCTCGAAGCGGACGAAGCGAACGCCGGGCCCGTAGTCGGTGAAAGTGTGCGAGACCTGGGGGGGTGAGGGGAAGGCTCAGGCTGGGCCCCCCCCCC